TACCTAAAATTCAGTGAAAAATAAAGTAAATTGTACTTCCAGAGCTCATTTAAGGTTCATAATAACGGTCATTTGGAAGTTTTACTTCAAAAATTGTGAAATTAAAAATTCTCTCACTGCACAGTACGGTTTTAAGACCTAAGGGAGTTCAGACGTTCCGAAAATGAGCAACTAACGAGAATAGTTAAGCGGACCTGTAATTTGCATACAAATTGGCTTTGGGGTGGATAAACGGCCCATTTGTATTCTACCACAAGATCCCGGCTCAGTGGCCGAAGTGTATTTATCTAGTTTCGGATTTGAATCGGCCGCGGTGTCTTGGGCTAATCGATACTACTTCGGTTAGCTGCGGAGCGGGCGGAACTTGGCGGTTTTAAATTAATTATTCTGCGCTGAAGATTATAAGACTGCTATTTCAGCACAGCGCTTACTTTGTATATATTTCATTTTCAAGACGGAACAAAAGTTGACTCATCGATATTCGGAACATGTGAACGTTTTGTGATGCTTTAAATGGATGACTAAGTTGCCGATGGTCTCATGCATTAAACATCGTGTAATATAGTTTTGTCATGTAATTTCAAAAATCAGGTCTTTCTCGATGAATAAATCGTTTAATAGTCAATCTTTAAATGTTGTTGAACAAGAAATTATAGATGTTTTATTTTTTATATGAGAAGGTTGATGTCAAGTGATAACCGCCGCCCATGGATGGATATTAGGCAACACCAGTAGGGTTGCAGATGCTTTGCCTCCGTTTGTGTTTAAAGTGGGCCCTGGTTACTTCACCTATAAAACTTCTTCACGCCGGTCTTCTGTAAGGCCGTGGTACTTCCCTGGACGGACCTGCCTATTCAATGTAGATCAATTCAATGTAGTTCAATTTCAATGTAGTAAGGCCACGCAAGTTTCTGTTGTTGTGTGGCCTTAATACATCGAAACAAAGCGAACATAGTGAGCACAGATTACTTCTTAATTTTTCTTATAGGCTTTCTTCCAGTCGAGAGTGATAACCCATATTATCGGTTAAAGATATGTTTTACTTAGTAATATAATAAAACGGTCATTATTTGTGAGAATTACGAAATTAACACCTTAATGATAGTTTTTGTCATATTTACGACTCTACACACAATTAAACAATGATAGGATTGAAATAAGTTAGAATATAAAATAACTTTTATTAGGTAGGACCTTTACGGATCTTCCAAAAGGGAAAAAATACAATTGCGGTATATGAGAAATTAAAAAAGGAATAGGAATTTGTTATGCACATTATATTCTTTCCTGCATTTTACCAATTATAATATTGTGTTCATAACTCAATCTATACAATATTCGGTGTAACAACTGATGAAGTTACACAAAATATTTGAGTTGTATGAATAAAGGCTTTTTTGCAACAATTCATCAAAGTTTTTCCCTCCTTTCTTCGCATTGATGTGTATGGTAATTGGTTCTTTTCGACTAAATAACACCATACCAGCAAAGACACTAACTAGCTGGTAAAGATACAAAATAAGTAATAGATAAAAAAATCAGTTATAATCTATTTAAGCTAGGACTGTATGTATATTATTATTGTTATGTACATTCATTGCAATACTAAAGATAGTGAAGAGCTTTAGTGGTGGAAAGAATACAAATCTGGACCGTATGGTAGTAGTAATTACTAACTCTTTTAAATTCAGACCATTTTTAGAATTATGGAACTCTATTAAGCGTATCAAAAAAAGCTTATTTTATTTTTCCTCAGAATTGTAAAAAGTTGGAAATATGAGGACATTAAATGCCCAATAATTAAATTCATGTTTTTTCTTATTTATTCTAAAAATTTTATCTCTTTATTTATTTTTAAAATGCTATTGTAATTGAGTTTTCGCTTTAATTAATTCCAACAGGATTGAAAAGTATCACTTAAAAAAATAATTACCTTAGTACCGGCGCGCATTGTATTGATATCTTTATTCGACGCCCCTCTATATACGAGTGATTTCCTCTCAATGGGGCTGAAACGAGAGTGCTCACGCAGATAGGATGTCAACGGTTCCGCAGGCCGTCAGCGGACGACACAAGTCCCACACCTAAGTGCTCTCTACCCAAATGTAGTGAAATTTAATTAGCCCCCCTTTCAGTAGACACCGTCTATTCATAAATGCTCTAATACATTTTACGTCGCGCCCCATCAAAGATAATTTCTTTGATGTTCGCAATTCATACCTTTTAGCTGTATTCATTAATTCCTATGCTATTAACGTTATTAACGACCTTTTGAATATTTTAATAGAATTAATTCGATGTTATAAGATCTACCCAAGAACCTTGGATTTGATATTTGTATTGAGTAACGTTAATTTTAAGTCATTTCCTTGTTTAGTTACGAAAGAATATTAAAAGGACGGGCGCACGAACCGAATTAACAAGTCAGTATTTCTGTCTCGTTATTAGATACACAATAAATCAATGCAATGTAGGATGTTGCTCCCAGTATGAAATTCGATAGGACGCACCAAACATTACCGCATAAATCAAGCCTCGAAATATAGCTCGAGCGTTGTAATGCCCGTTCGGAGTCCTTGTGTCCATTACGTAATGGACTTATAAAGGCGTGTTTAGGATCATGACAATATACGTCGAATCGTATTCTTCACCTATTATGGCCGAAGTTGAGATATGGGCCAAGTTTTGTTAGGCGATTTTCGTTATTGCGTTGCATGAATTGAAGTGCTATTTTGTTATCATGATCCTTTGTTATTGTATACGAATACTGAACCTTATACAGCCTTTTCTCAGTGTATCCATTTTTTTAATTAAGTTCTAGACATAAATAATGGTATATAAAAATGATAAATATTTAAAATCACTCGTAATTAATTAAATACATTAATTTGAACTTATCTCAAAAAGTGCTTGATTTATACGCAACTCATTTATTTTACGCGCGATCATTCATAAGTAACACGCAGACAAGTTCGTGCACGGTAAAATTTAGGTATTTATGAATGACTACAGCATTGTCAACACGTTCTGTTTTTTAGGGAATAGAATGGCATTTTTATGGCAATAAAAACTTTGTTTTTTATTTCAATAAGCGATTATACTATCGAGTCTGATCCTCCTGTGTGAATTTGGGCATATTTAGAAAAGTTACCCTGTATAGTGGGTTATATTACGTAAACATATTTTGACGCTTACTAATGGATTTATGCTATTTTAAAATATTGTTATGACTTTCAGACTAAACTCTATAGTGATGATGATTGTTGTTATGCTCTCTCTGTCTGAACATGAAACAACACAATTGATACATTATTTATTTGAAAACAAAACGAAAGGTTATATAGCTCCCAGTGTTCTTCAAAAGCAAGTTAAATTCACTGTTTCTTTCTCTCCTTGACCCAAAAAATATGTTGTGCTTACATAATATTAAAATAAATTTTATATTATTGATATAATAATTATTCTATTTTGCGGCTTGCTATTTTATATATTCTATATAAATAAGTAAAGAGTTTATAGTTAAGTCTAAAAGTAAATTGAATAAATACTTGTTTTGAATAAGCAGGTACTACTACAAATAAATCATTTGTAATTGTTCAAATAGAGCATTTTCATCCTTAATTCGATCGTAAATTACAACATTAATACAAAACTGTGTACGAACGTTGTTTTATCTCATTACGGTATTTGAATAGTCCTTTATGCTTTATCAATGCCATCTCTTTCGATCACTAATAAAGATCTTTATTTTGTTCTTTACCAGTCATCGAAGGTCAACTAACGTAATTATGCCATAAGAACAATGTGAGCGATGTCATTACCTTTGCGCATATCTATCGCTGTCTTTTAAACTTAGGAATAGTTCTTAACTTTATTTTGACTGATGTTTTTCTTTTAACTCGTAGACAATTAGTATAGTATTCTCAGGAAAAGTGTAAAATTTAATTCTTTAATACGTTGTGTTTGCTTTCTGATTGAGGATAAACGTTTTGTATTTGTGGTAGAGCCAAGCAGCAACTCTGTTGTCGCACGACTGGGAAGGCTCGTCCGGGGAAGTGGGGAAGTCCCGCAGCCTCACAGGAGAGCGGCGAAAAGCGGCAGTTTTACTTTCGCATTGCATTTGCCGAGTGAGGTAGGCGGGACCCATTCTTTGAAACGTTCAGCATCTGCAACGTCTGGGAAGTTGTAAATGTCCATGGGTGAGGTTAATCACTAAACATCAGGTGACCCGCCTGCTCGCTTCCGTATTTTCACGTTAAAAAAAACTTATCACACAACCTCAACAATCCCATTTAAATTAAACGTTGCTTGCATTTGAGTATATTCGCTAGAATATAATGTGGTATATATAGCTGTTACTTGAGTCATACATTATTTCATAAAGTCGTTGTCGTTTGTGGCAATCATATCTCTCTTGATTCTCTGTAAAAATAATGATTGAAACATTATTTTTAAGCGTATGCTTTCCTCTATTGACAATAGACCGGAACTTAAAAGTCAAAAAGATAAAATTAGCCCCTTTTGTGTGGATCTAACAGAAGAATTTAAAAATTGAGAATTTAGAAACTGGTCAGAACCATTCAGACTTCCAACGACTCAGTCTGTCCCGTAACCTTGAACTCTGAAAAGGGTTTGGAACGTCTGGTACTAAAATTAAAATAAACGCAATAAATCCGTAAAATCAGTTGCATTTAGTTATAAGTCTCTTTGTCCCGATTATGTATTTCTGCCGTTTCATGTTAAAACTTTAGGGTCCGTGGGGTCCCGGTACATCAAAAATTTTGAAAGGTTTTCGTCTTAGACTTGTCACCGTGGCTGGTGAAAAGAGGGCCGGTTCCTTTCTCGCTCAAAGGTTAAGCATAAATATTCAGCGCTGATAATTGAAAAAAAATGCCTATTTTATTGTTTTAATAGAAAATTATTACAATATTTAAGAAACATAAGAAGCTTTATAATACCAATTTATATTAGTGTAATAAAGTCTTAACATTTTGTTTTAGACGTGTGTTCGCTGAAGCAGTTCCAGTGTGCGAATGGGAAGTGTATACCATTATCTTGGGTGTGTGAAGGGGAGAACGATTGCGGCGATAACTCAGATGAAAATATCGAGGAATGCAAAAAAGGTATGTTTTTCCTTATATTATTTAGATTATTATACAAGTCAATGTACCGGATCACTTCGTAACATTATATGTTGTGTTTCATTTTACTGCTTTTGTCATGCTGTGCGCGTAAAAGCATTGTTTTACATTAGCGTTTACTGTGTTTACAGTTAAAATGTGGAATCTTTTGTATTTCATAGGTTTTATATTCATTTTGTTTAACAGCACATATATTACATGTAATATTAATATCTGTTTGGTTTATGGTACTAGATTATGAAAATTGATGATACTGTTACACGGTAAAACTCTTATGAGTTTATGTTTGTATCAGTTTATTAAGTTTGTAATTTTCTTTTTTTTATACAAATAAATTAAAAAAAAAAATTATATTGCTTCCTGTCCTTGACCCAGATCTTATTGGAAATTTTATGGCTTTTAATTTATTTGAATGGAGCCCATGTTCTTTTCAAAAATAAAAGGACTAAGGCATTCCTTATACCAACGACTATATGTTAGTGAGAGTCCCGTTAAAATCGGTCCTACCGTTGCCTAGATTAGCTGGACAAACATTTTTAAAATGGTTTTGGTCTACGTGACATGTAAACATTCATAACGTTGATTATCAAATGGAGCCTTATGAAGATATCCCCAACGGTAATATAAAAAAAGAAAAGTAATTAAATGTTAAATCCATGATGCGCTGAATTCCATTGTGTACTGATGTGGTACGCTGTGAATACATTATTTTATTGTATCTGAAAAGCTGCGGATGTTACCATGCTGACGAAGAAAACCTTCCTCTACGTACATTCATGAAGTTATTTCACTCATCCTACAAAATAATTGAGCATAATATGCCGCGTTATTATTGCTTTCACTTGTTCGTGTGTACATACGAATATAGCAGCTCAATTGTATCTTCCGGATCGAATCACTTCTTTTCAATTTTTCTACTTTCAAATATGCCGATTATTCTGGTGTACAGCTGGTCTTTGTTTTAGTTGGACGATTTTTTTAAATCCTCAGAGCACGTGGAAAGAGCCTCTGTTTTTAAGATCAAACATATGCTAGGCGTTTGATCTATTTTATCAGGGGTTTTAGAATGAGAAATTACAAAGCTGGGTATTTGTACCGCGGCTCCGACATCCGTAGATTGCTTTAAACTTTTCTGGAGCAGTGACAATGTCCATTGAGGAACCATGTTAACGCGGTGTGTTGGTTTATCTTTGTTCACAGGCAAACAATATACTAACACTTTAAAGAAATATTTAATAGCTATATTATAACTTCTAACTACACTAGATTATGTTCTATTTTATTTTACTTTTATTTTGTCTGTTTGTAAAACTGAAAGATAAATAATAAAATAATGCACCAAACCAGGATCACGATTCATTGCGACAAGTCAAATACAAGTCGCCCTAGCGGCTTATAATTATACCCTACATTGAAGCGCAACTGTTGTTCGCAAAAGTAAATTTATCGTTTCTTCAACGCCTGTCAGTGACGGTATTGAATAAAATACTTGTCCCCATTAATGCGAACAAATAACTATTCGCCTGTCGACGTTTAAATATCTATCGCAGCTCTTTGAGCGACCGCGAACAAAGGCGTCCCGTATTGGCCACCCATTAATATTTATTGGGGGAAATAGCTTTCGAAACTCAATGGCCTCCTTCTATTTAACATCAATTTTACTTTCGTCCATTTCGCAAATTATGTTCACTGTAATGCCTGAAGCTCAAGTTGTAATTTATGCAAACTGTCTCCCAACATTTACTTGTTTCAAGTGTCTTTCAATATTAACGAACAAGTTCTCAACAGCGTCTGTCAGGGCCTCCTTAATCAGCACTGCTAAAGTATAAGATCCGGCGGAAAGTGAGTTCTTACGAATAAGATTATCTAAAACTTATCTCCTAGAATTAACTTATATGTTACTGCAATCGGTCGTTACTGTTAAAACTTATTTCAAAAATTGGGTGGCTTTACAGTATTGGGAACATTAAAGGTCATATAGATTAAAGGTTTAAATCATATGGTTCGTATAGTTTTGCAAAAAAGTTAAACGTTCAGCACTTTTTTCTCAAATGTGTTTAGAAAGAAAGATAATAAATAAATTAGTTCAGTAAAATATTCAATAAAAACAACCGTAATCGTTAAATGGGTCATAGATTATAATTAAATATATGATAATCGTTAAATTGTCTGCGCACATTGAAATTCAATTATTTTGAAACTCATATCTACACAATCATATCAATCCTTTACAATTGCGAAAATAAACTCGCACTTGACTGTTATTGGAAGTCGATCCAATCAATTCATTTCGCTACATTTGAAATCTTGTTACGCGTCCATCAGGGACTTTTGAGCGGTCTAAACAGTTTTATTAAAGAAGCCTATTGTGTGTTCAGTCTTGATTGGTATTTGTCTTCTTTATTGATGCGATGACTGGTCCCGACGTCGCGGCGCCCGCCGGTGTCACGTTGCGCATGCGTCGCCCGCACCTAGAGGAATGCTACGGCCGTCTTCGCGTAATAGAACACTTCCTAGCGAACAGCGATTATCAACCACACGACATCCCTGAGCGTAATACGAACACTTTCATATTACGTCGTATACACTTACACAAACATATTGTATACATGAATGCATAGCGTGGTAGTAATTCAAAGCGTTCAATTCACTGACATGTGGTCCACATTCAAATTTCATAGTTTCGATTTGTGTAAGCCTACCGGATCAATAGGCAATGATTGTTTAAGCTTGTTTCATCAAACATAATTTGTCAACAAGGCAAGAGTGGGTTAGGCTTCTACTAAATTAACTGCGTTTGCCGCGAAATTAATATTAGGTGGGATGGTAATTGAGGACTAACCAGTACAAAATTTATGTAATGCGTTATATAGTAATATATTTAGGTATATATATTCGGTTAATATTTCACATGTTTTCTATCTCGCAACGTGCCGTTTATCATTTACGTTGTTGTTCTACATTCATTTATTTTTATTAAATATTATTATACACAACGCACGTTAAAAGCTTAAAACATCCAGATGCCTTTATTACAAATATCCAATACATATTATACAAGCCGACAATTTTTTTTACAAATAAATAAAACAGTTAACAAACTTAGTACCTTAGCGGCATTACTTATTTATTATATGACAATACGAAACTGAAATCAATTTATTTTGACCTGTCTCAGTCTTTCCGAAGGTTATATCAAGTTATAAAAAACTGTGTGTACGCAGGACAAAAGTGAAGCTTCACGCTCTTTATATTGAAACAAGATGTAAAAGACTTAAAACATTTGTAGTTTAATTTATTTGTATGCATGTAATAACAATCTTTTTTATGCTTATTTGTATCTAATCATTCTTATTGTAACATTTGTCTTTTATCATCACTTAACTTTAGAAATAGATGCTAGTAGCTTCATCACAATATTACAATAATAATAGTAAGCATGTGGTAACTGTAGTATGATATATGTAAGTTTTTGAATCTGTGTCGTTGTTAAATAAATTGTTTGTTATTTATAAACGAATAAGTGAAAGAACGAGTAACCGGCGCGCTGTTATAAGCAATATTTAATATATAAGCAATATTTAATATACCGCAACAAGGCGTGTACTCTGCGAAAAAGAGTATGTAGGTAATTAGTGTGTGTATACAGCAACGAAGAGAATTTAGTGGGAGTATGGGAAGCGTAACGCAAGTCTTGTAACGTCCCTAGTGATGACGTCACGCAGAGAGTATTTTCTAGTAGTAAAAAGCTGACAACACATTTGCAAGCCCTCCGGTGTTGCAGATGTTCATGGGCAGCTGTGAGCACTTACCATCAGGTGAACCTCCTGCTCGTTTACCTCTAATAATAAAGCGTTCTGCCGGTTCACCCTCTATGCCCGTTTTGTTGCTCGGTACGCGTAAAGAAGTTTCATTTACACAAGGCGATTAAAACGTGTCAAAACAGTTATACGTTTTAGAATGAATTGACTCCAGCGGTTGATTGATATTTATACTTCGGCATACTTCGGCCCCATCAATAATACCTTCTGTCAAAAGACCAACAATTCTTTTACAACTCCCTTGGTTTGTGGAAATTCATGAGGGGTGGTGATTACCAACTCTCCATTGAACGTAAAAACAGATTAGAATTGCGAAAGCTGATTGATGACGCCTAAAGGCAAATATGCTTAAAGTGTTTGGAGTGTAATTACGTATTAAAATAACTTACCGTAAGCCTTACTTATACGGGTGAATTCAGGTCTTTGGTTAACTAAACTATGTTAATAATTAAGGAAAAAGTAAGAAGAATGAATTAAATATGGGATACGTGCATGGAGGAATGTAACATGCTTTAAGCTTCAATATTTTGATTTCGTCGTTCGTTTCAGATTCAGCATATACGATAACATTTTTTTTACATGTAAATCTTATGAGAAATAGATAATAATAATTACATTGTAAGACCTGGTCTATTTATTTACAATAAGCTTACATATTGATTTGTAAAAATATTTTATGATTCAGCCAAATGGATCAAGTTTAACTCGCAATTAATACAATGAGAAACTAAGAGCTAAATAATTAGAAAGCTTTACCTCTTTGAATTATTGGCTGATTTGTAAAGTCTCAAATAGAATTGATTGTTACTTTTTCCTAACTAAAATTAGAATTCACGTAATCAAAACTCCTATAGATTACTATAAGTAGGCACCGACTTATATTAATCTATAGGAGTGTGCAAAGAAAACAGAATGGAGATAATAGAATTTTTGAGAAACATCAAGTTACAAAACCCAGTTCACTAGGGAGTCAGAGAGAAAGCCCAATAAAATACGACCGTCGGTTCTAATTTGCAGTCGTTATTTTTTATTAAGTTTTATTTACTAATAGTCCACATTATTTTATCTGAAAAAATATAAACAGCTTAGAACTAACTGTCATGTACAACATACATACTCGTACGTGCGTACATACATACACACGTACACTTCCCAAACTAAGTTGAGTAATTCATTAAAATAATTAATTTAAGCAATCGATGTCTTTTGGATGGTCATATTTGATGGTGGCGATATTTTTGAACCGATACATCTAGATGGTCTTTTCTTATGTGTACAAGCGAGATGGCGGGTGGCAAGTGATAACCGCCGTCCATTGACATTGGCAACACCGGATGGCGACGCGTTGCAACCTACGTCCACTTCAGGTCGGTCTTCTGTGAGGTGGTGTTAGTTCCCCGGACGGAACTGCCCATTCGTGCAACTGTGCGAAGTTGCGTAGTAGGGCTACGTTAGTAGGCCGTTATTCTAATCATACAGGTCTTTCATAAGAGAGACTTATAGTTTAGTAATAATAGTTTTATATGTTTGTGTGTTGACGTTTTAAATTATTAGAAGTATGTATATTACTATAAGGAAAACATATAAAAGGATAATAAAAATTTATAGCACATTGACTTTTTAACGCCATTTATGTTTGTGATCGGCCCATTACGACATCTGCGTAATTTTGTCTAAAAAGGATATCTACAAAATCCAATTCAACTAATTCTTTACGCCATCCGTCTCGAATAGTCCCAAAGGGATCTCTAAACAGCCGAAACATTCAACAGTCGGCAAACAAAGTGGCAATACTACTCAAATTATGAAAGTACTTTGGATCCGTTCTTATTATAAAATTGCCGTCTCGGAATGTTTCTGTAAGTGTTGTTGTCTAATTTATTTTCTTTGGAAATCTCGTATATTTGTAACTATGTTTTTTTTCTTGTCTAGAATATTGATTTAAACAGTGATTTGAGAGCCGAAACCTATACTTATTTTATAAATAAATAATTGTTGCGACTTCTATAGGAATCTTATATTTTGTGAAAACATATTAGCCCCATTTTAAAATATTCTGTCGTGAAGTGCATACTCAGTTTTTTTTATTCAGTTAAGCCTTGTTGAAAATCCAGTCACGCGCAACAAATCTAAAGAGTTTTTGAATTAAAATGGACCGTTAGAACTCTGATATAATTCTGCACCGACGCGAATCTTTTCAAAACAGATATAAATTCCCGCGGGTCATGATTCAGCCGAATCCTGTC